GTTCTTTGCATGTTCTTGTCTCGTTTATGTTTAAGAATAGAATTGTCGTCACAGTTGTATATCTTTAGATCTATAAATATAATTAACATATGTATTCCCGCGATTTGTTTATATATACATAGATTCAAACTGATAATAGCTGAATCAGATTAGTTTGCATTATTGATTATTCAACATATGTTGTTTTATGATTAGAGATAAGTTATTATGTGTTGCTATTCCATTTATATTTCCACTGAATTATTAATTTACATTTTATTCATAGAATTATATTTAAAAGTGATACAGAGGACATACAGAGGCTATACGAAAAGAATGGACAATTCTAAAAATAATAGTAAATTCTAATTTTATTTAATATAAATTAATTATGATACTGATACATGAAAGAAGTATAATTCATAATTACATGTGTTATAACCGTCATCTTTCTCCTAAATCAAGCAGGCATCAACTCAATTATTATCAATAAAGTTCTAGGAGATACAGAGATACTTTTACAAAATAATGGAATATAAAAACACATTCTGAACCAAAAGTTCAAGGCGTCCAGCAACACTGGTTTTCATTGGAACCGAGATGTCTGAATTTATGGATAAATCCACTTTTTTGAAGTGAAACTTCTTTAGGCGCATGAGGGTAATTTTTTTACGGATGAAATGCAATAATAATAATATTAGCGTCACGAAGATGTGCAGCGTTTTTGTCGAAGAAAAGGGAGAGAGCAATTGAGACCGATTGAGAGAGAGTGAGATAGAGCGAACGTCGCCTCACGCAGAGTGCCATGGCGCAAGGGGTGGGAGAGAGCTATAGTGAGAAAGATTGAGAGAGAGAGTAAGGGAGATCGAGAAAAAATGCACGCTATTAGTTGATGTATTCGTTTAGTAGTTACATTTTAGAACTTTAGATGGCAATTCTATCGCATAACGTCGCATGTGCAGTAAACGCAGATTTTTTATTTATTTACATTATTATTAGCAAGTTTAAAGTGTGTAAACAGTGTGAATATAGATGTACAAATACATGGAGTGATCATATACTGGTACATGATCATCTATTGGGGCTTTTACCTTAGTAATAATTAATTTACAAAGAAGTTTCACTTCTGACATGTGAACTTTGTACGCACGCACTTTTTATATAGAACAGGGGAAACGGGCAGGAGGCTCACTTGATTTAAGTGATACCGCCCATGGACACTCACAATGCCAGAGGGCTCGCGAGTGCGTTGCCGGCCTTTTAAGAATTGGTACGCTCTCTTCTTGAAGGACCTACGTCGAATTGGTTCGGAAATACTTCAGTGGGCAGCTTGTTCCACAACGTAATTGGTAACAAAATATTGTAAACATTAGTAAGTGTGGAGTTTCTTGCCCATTCTTCTCCACACAAACTACCTTTTGAAGGGCAACTAGAATCATCTTTATATATATTTTTTTTCGAAGTTCAAAAGTGCCATTTTAGATGGTCTAATTGAAATAAACGATTTGACTTGACTTGACTTAAGTGAAAACCACAGAATACTATCGGTCGATAAAATAATCAATAGAATTACGTGAGTTTCTAGAGGGAACTTATAATTTTCCGGCTGTATGTAGTGTAGGTTTCACGCACCCAACAAAGAACAAGTGCACCAGATACCTTACACAAACAAATAACATTGAATAGCTATCGAAGAAAAAATAAATAATAGTTTAAAAAAACTAGAACACACGCTTTATATAGAAAACTACACCACTTTTTTTACAATAAAACATTTTTTTTCTTATTCAAACTATTAATAACTTATATTTATTAAAAAAATTTACATTATTCTTAATTAATATTTATTAAAATTTATTTTCTGTTTTTAGTTTAGTTTTCTATATAAAGCGTGTGTTCTAGTTTTTTTAAACTATTATTTATTTTTTAGTTTAATTTTTTTTATTTTTTTTTCGGATTATTGTATTTTATTATTGTGTTTGAATTAAATCTGATCGTTCAAAATCGTAGGACAAAATCGAGCTCAAAGGGCTCGGTTACATACATACACACAGGTGAAGCTAATATAAAGCGTGTAAAAAAGATTGACGAGTATCGTAGGCGTAGTGATGCTAAACAGACACGAACATGCTTAGTGCGCGTGTACTAATTGTATAAAAATCGACGTGTTTGAGCTGTAAAACGCGTAAATTATCGCATTGTATACGAATACCAATGGCGTCTCCAGCGGTTTGTCAAGGGCACCTCTAGAAGTAATTGCAGAGGATAGGAAAAGAGTCGTATAAAGCAAATTGACTGTTCGATATTATTAAGCAATAAAAATAAATTTTGACAAATTAACTATACAGTTGCCCTCCTCCTTAAATACTTGACGAAACTATCGTAAAATTTGTTCCTATATCTCTGGGCGCTTTCGTAAACATATATAACCTTAGTTTATAAACGGCCTAGTAAAGTGAAGGAGGGCGTTGTGTCAATTAATTTATTCGTTCCATCGTTTTTATAATTTTAATTCGATTTATATTTTGTTATCAGCTATTCAATCTGATGTAAATACCTAATATTACAACCAATTCTTAGGTAATAGGACACTAGATTTTAGTAGCGATAGTGAGAAATACGATATCTTGATTGTTGACGAGTTTTTGAAACTAAATTAATGTTGACACAAAAAATTTGGTTAACATATAACTTCTTTTAAACGACTTCTTGTTGGTTTTTATTAAAAAAATATTTATATTATATTATTTCTCTATTTATAAATTTTTATCCATATAGCCTCAATGAAAAAATAAAATAAATAAGTGGCGCTACAACCTCTTTAGGTCTTGGCCTCAGATTTCTGAATTTGTTTCATGATCATTCTTAAATCTAATAGGCATGTAGGTGATCAGCCTCCAGTGCCGATGACGAAAACATGTCGGTTTCCTCACGATGTTTTCCTTCACCGTTCGAGCAAATGTTAAATGCGCACATAGAAAGAATGTCCATTGGTGCACAGCCGGGGATCGAACCTACGACCTCAAATATGAAAGTCGCACGCTGAAGCCACTAGGCCAACACTGCTCATACTTGGACAGCCTCAATGATCTCACTTAAATTCAGGGATACCTTGCCCGAGTATCCACAGCGACCGTACTGTATGAGACCACTGTACGCCAAGGCTACAGTTCTTTTTCCTCCGAGGTCTAGTTTTATAAGCGTGGCAATATGAGATATACCAAATCGTCGCCGAGTTACGCCGCGAGAGTATAGCAACACGAAGGCACTCTTTCGACTATTACATTTATATTCTATTGTTATACGCGAGCGGTAAATATAGAGTAAACCTAAAATCCTCTATTATTTAAAATCACCCGATGACTCAGGAACCGTAAATTTTGGTCCTTCGAGTTATCCGGGAATAGCGGGTCTTCCGCGTTACCGTTTTGTTTTTTCTTTCTTTTTTCAATTCAATTTTTTGTGAGCTTGTTAATATTAGTGGCGTTTTTTCTTTTAATATATTTAATTATGAAATATCCTTATAGATTATAAAGTCACCGGCAGCGTCTGCTGAACACAACAAACTAAAAATAGTTTTTATAGGCTTTTCACCAAAAGATAGTATTATTCCTGAGCTTTGGGTCTAGAACTTAGGCAATCAGTGGCCACTAATCTCGAAGTCGAAGAAGTTCCTCGTATGAAAAAATACTTTTTTTTACCAAAATATATAATATTGTACATAAAATCAACGCGTTGCGTGTAGTCCTACTGCTGATAGAGGACAAATCTTAGTTCTTAATTTTTTTATTATTATTAATTACTTAAGATGTCATGAGGAACATGGTGTAATGGTTGCAGCTCCTTACAAACATTGTGTAAAACAAAAAACTTGGCGATTGTTTGAAAACTGTCAGTAAATGTTAATTTTTTAGATTAGAGTCATTTAGCATTTAATGTGTATTTCTTTATTGACGTTCATAAGTGTACATTGTGTTACATGAATAAATGATTTTGACTCTAACATAATGATTTAAATATTAGTTAAACAAAAGTCTGTATTTACATGTCTTTTGTAAAACTTCTTTTAACCTCCGTACCGTGTACTATAAGCTATCCGATAGAGAATCCAATAAAGTTTCCCGTAAGCTCTTTATCCAATTATAATAAACTTACGTACGGCCGGTGTGGTGCACTTTGGGCCGAAATTATTACTAGTAAACTATTTATGTTATGTTTTAATTAGAAATGTTTAAACGTATTGTAAAGCTACATATTAAAAGAAAGAAAATATATTAGAAGAAGAAGAAAGCTAGTACAGTGGAATTTCTATAAATCGAACCTCGTTAAGTCGAAAAAAGTTACTATTCCCTTCCGCTGAATCCCTAAATACGCGGTATCTTGAATTATTTAGACTTTGTAACTCTAACTTTTATGCATTTCCTTTTTTTTACTATGTCTAGTAAATGTTTTCTAGATAATTCCCCGACTATGTAGTCGTCGGAGGTATTAAATATCTTACGTAAATGGTACCTATTTCTTTTAACAACTTTTGGTCTGACCTCAACAGAAAATCCCAAATAAATGCCTCTTAACCTAATATTTAACATTATTTCCTTTAAATTCGTCTCTGTTACTTTTATGCCCATAGCTTGCTCAGTGTTATACCTATCGTATCTATACATTGGACAGTCGGTCAGAACATGTAACACCGTCTCTTCAGCTGTATCGCTACAAGGACGGGCAGCACTTTGTCTAATGCTGAACCTGCAAAGATACGATAATAATCAATCCCGTTGGTTTCATTTGTTTAAATATCGAAAAGGCCGAAACAACATTTGGAAAGAATAACTTAGTTATTGCAGCTGTTTCGCCGTTTCGATATCTGTGATTCTATTTTTCTATCGTGGTTCCACGTAGTTCTTTAAATGCAATTTAAAGGGAATCTAGTGTAAACGTGTTGCATTTCCTTTGACATCCGAGTTATAGAGATTTCACTGTAACTCATATATGTACAAGACTACATACAAGAATATTTCCAGGCACGCCTCATGATGGATAAACGATCAACCTCTAGCACCAGATCTCGCCGAGTGCAGCAACTTCTTGGAGAACTGGGAATTTCTACTTGCACAAGCACAAAGCTGAAGGCTTTGTCTGGTGGCGAGAGGAAGAGAGTCGCTTTGGCTGTCCAAGTAAGAATTTCTTGTGATTGTAAATACAAATTTTAAGACGGAATTAAACGAAAACATTATGTATTGTTTTAAAGGGCTAATGTTTCATTTAAATATACATATAGCAACAGTTATATAACGCTGGAAAAACTTAATCAAGGACTTAAAAAACTTCTTTTGTTGATTACTTTTTAACTGTACCAAATAATAAATGTTCTAAATTCAAAATTAAAATATCATATGTAGCACCATATGAGGGAAAATGAACTCGGTGTTCGAATCTACGACCACGTTATAACCTCATTACAAAATATAATTATTGCATTTAAAACATAGAATCATCAACAATTTTTTTGGAATATTTTTTTGCAGTTTCTATAACCAATATCTAATAAATTGTTATAAAAATACAATAAACGCAACGCAATAAATCCAGGCAATAATTGCCAAGATTCTTTAATGCTAATTGGAAAACTTTCATTTTAATATTAACATACAATTTTGAATTTGTATCGAATACGGTATATCTAGAACAATATAAGACGAATAAATGAATTATTAATTTAATGTCAAAAATGTGATATCTAACAACTTGTAAACAAGTTTAAACAAAAACACCTTCAGTTAATCCGTTGGTCTTTAGTATATTAACTAAAATATTTTGTTCCGGAACTAAAATATATTATAATTATTAGTAACAGAGTATCCTTTATATACGAACGAAAAGTTTTCCTACTCGTATCGTATTCTACGAATAGTTTGACGGTTAAATTAACGTAAAAGTAATTTTAATTAATAAAATATTTAAGTAATAGAAGGTAATCTCACGTTGGAACTGATTGGCCTAGTGCCTAGAAGTGCAACTGAATCGTGAGGTCCTGCGTTTAGTGCCTCTGCACAATTTTTATTTCAAACACTCGTTAGTCAAGGAAAACAACATTGAGAAAACCGGCCTTAAATCAAAAAATTGATAGTAAAAGCTTTATAATAATAAGAAAATATTGTCAAACATATCTAAGACCAAGGGATGTAAGTCCACTGTTTCACAGCACTCTTCCACGCTATAATAAACCTTTCTCTTTCAGTTGCTCAATGACCCTCCAATTCTATTCTGTGATGAGCCAACCACGGGTCTCGATAGTTTCGCCGCTAACTCAGTGGTATCACGACTGCGACGTCTTGCAATTGGTGGCAAGCTGGTGATATGTTCCGTACATCAACCAGCATCTGGAGTATTCGAGCTTTTCCACCAGGTGGTGCTCTTGGCGAATGGAAGAATTGCATTCCATGGAACAATAGAACAGGCTGACCAGTTCTTCGCTTCGTAAGTTTTTTTAATATATTACAAAATGAGCTTTGCTCAAAGATCTAATACCGGAAATTCTGTAAAAATATTATATAATATATTAAGTCATACGTTTAACTGATATATGTTGACTTTCATAAATCGTTAGTGATATTAGCAATGTTACGCTGACGTTTCCGTAACATATAGTTAGCTAGCGTTGTACAATTTTTTTTATATTACAAAAAATTATTTATCGTGAGAGAGTAGGATATATATATAAAATCGATTAACTCACGTAAGCTTCAGTGCTCTGCCGTTTTTTTTTCTATTAAACCTACACACATACTCTCTTCAACTCTTATAGTATGAAACTTGTTTAGATAATCTATGCGTTCTAGCTGTAAGATTACACATTCGAATACGTGACCAAACAATCCAACAATTCGTACACCTCGGGGCTTCACAAATTCATTCGATTCTCAATTTCATACAAAACTTTTTTCTCACAAAAAATATTTAAAATTGCGTCTAATTTTTAAGCAAGATGTTACTTTGATTTAATCCATGTCAATCACACTAATCTTAATAAGATGAAATTTTACACTGTCACCTTCACCGATTTTAGATTCAGTCTCAAATTTAACCACAAACAAAAACTAACATCATAATACAAAACCGGCTACGCCTTGCGGTTTCGTTAAATTCATTTAAATTTGTGCTTCTGTAGTGTTAAAAACATATTAACATAAATTTGGATTGGTAGAAAAATTCAATAACACGCATAAATTTTTATTAAAATAATTGGAATGAAAGGAAATACCAAGTTCCTGCTCAAAATATGCATCAGATAGTCAAATGTCCAAATTAAAAACGAAATTTAAAGGCACCATTTTAGTTTATAATTCTAACATGTCATTAAAACTTTTCACTCATAATTAATCTGAGATTTAATAATAGAAGGGGTACTTCATACCAATAAGGAATATTCAATTTTCTAACTATTAATTGAAAATCTATTATTCTGGAACAAATATTTGGCTAGTAAATTATACACTGACCTTCAAGATAAATGTATCTATAGATTTCAGTATTCTTTATACTAAAACGACACGAACAAATTCCATAAATTTGACTAAATTGCTTAAATTGGATAAATTTACGGTGATTTTAGTAGTATGAAGTCATCTATAAGATCCACATCTATTTTATAGTAGCCAATATATAATACTTTTATGTGCAGTTTTATTATCTAGGCAAAACGAAATGGCAAATCATAAAAAAAGATTCATTGCTTTTTCTTGTTTTTGAACATAGACTAAAAAAAATTATAAAGTTTATACAACAGCATGATTGATTACTGCACCAATTTTGTGTAACAAATTAATTACCATTAAATATTTGGTGGCATGCACGACCTGGGCGCTGAGAATGGATAACGACAGATAATAGACGAAACAGTTCGTTTCAAACGGACGTACCGGCAAACAACTTGAACAAATGTCCTTGCCTGCGCAGAAGCGATTTTTAGGTATCACTTGCGGCGGGAGAGTGACGAGTCGATCGCGTGATTGGTAAATCAGTTGACGTTTGTGTCCCGCGATGCGCAAACTTTCCCCCACTTTATATTAAATGCTCAAGAAGTTTGCCGGTATCTGTATCATGTCGCATCTTAATGCTGTGTCGGACTAGAGATGCTTTCATTTTTTGTTCTCTGGTAAGGAAAGTACCTCGCTGTATCTCTTAGATAAGTATAGTGGCGCTGGAAAGCAAATGGTAATTTTTTAGGCAGATAAGATCCACCTTAACTGTCGTCTTCAATAAGTAACATGCAAACGCCTGTCTAATATAAGATAGGATTTCATTTTTATTTTTTTTACACGTATAGAATATTATTATTATTTTTATAGATAAGAGGGCAAACGGGCAGGAGGCGGTATCCCGCCCATGGACACTCAATGCCAGATGCCTAAAAAACGCTCACATTAAGTAACAGCTTGAAAAATATTTATTATTAACAATGTATGTATATTAGTTTCTAATTAGTGGCTAACAAAACAAGTAAATGGCGAACGAAATGTCGAGGTGAACAATAAATCTAAAACGAATAATCTAGTCAGTCTACGAATAGGCAATAATAGTGACATTTTACATCTTTTAATATAAAGTTTATTTACCTTTAAAAATTCATTTCGATAAAAACACGGACTTCGGCGCGTAGGTTTTATATAAACGAGTTGGATAACCTAATTTAATCGATTTTTTCAAGGCTTAGTTTTTGCGTGTTATAAAAATATGTTCAAATATTTACAATGCAATATTTATATATTTTCGTATATAAACAGAAATTTCATAATTTTCATATCTCTGTATATACAGATGTGGTCGACGAAATCCTGCAATATTCCGAGTCTATTTATGATCTGTTCAATATTTAAGCCATGACTTAGTTTACTTAGTTTAATTGTATTGAATAATTTTTTATTTTTTCAATAGTTTTTTCGTTCTGTAATATTTGAACCTTTTTGTTTATAATATGTATTCCATCTTGGCTATATGTTTAGTATAATTGTTTTTTTATTAAATATAATATATGCTAGCTGTAGGAGTACGAAATAAATAAATCCGTAACTTTTCATAGGTCAAATAGAGAGTATCTATAGATGTTAAACTATATATTAGTTTGAAATATATTTTTACGGTGTTAGGAAGTTAACGGTATCTATACTGTCCCGTGTCCCATACACAGGACCAACGGTATATAAATGATCCTAATTTAGCGACCACCTTAACATATCCATGTGAAGATGGCTCGCCTAGGGTCAAATAGCTTCGGCTCTAAACAACTTTGTTTCATAGCATTATTGTTAATAGCAAAGTATAGCTATAGATAGGGAGGGCTATATCGAATGGAACTTGAAAACTTTATTTCATTATTTAAAGTTATTATTTTAATTTTTTTACCGTCAAGTACAACTTATAGCCTGTACAACGATACCGACAGCGAACGTTGCGATATCAAGCTGGGTATCCACTATGTTGGCAAATCTCTTACGCTCCGCGCTCCTGCAACTGCTCCACATAGTAGATACCTTCGCGCTCCCAGACCGTGCAACGGTGCGCGCTCTGCGCTCCGCGCGCTGACAGTTTTTGAGCGAACACAAAGGGGAGCTCAATCTGTTCGTGGACGCGAGCAAGGTATCACGTAAGTGCGTACGTGTCGTATAAAACGCTCCACGCTCGGTTAAATTGATTGGTCAGAAGAAAATTGTAATGGCCACTTAATTTCTGAGACTTGAGTTCCAACACCAATGAATTCGGACGTCTTTTCTTGTAAATGTCAGATTTTCAAAAGCGAAGAGGGCTTCTAAAGTCTTCGAGAAGATAATGAAATAAAATATATGCTGCACTAGCCACTGGTAACGACATGTTCGCGCAAGAGGACTGTATCATGCGTGTTTCTATTGGAGATGCGCGTACCGTCTCCATCAGAGCGGTTGCAGGAGCGCGGAACGCAAAAGGTTCGCGAACATAGTGGAATTCAGCGCTACGGATCTTCAGAGAACTACATCGAACTTGCGTACAAAAACGCCGGTATAACTATTGTAAGGGCGCAGTTATTTTTTCACCCGAAATCAGAAGTAGGATCAGGGCCATACATACATGCCAGTACCTAGGTTCTAGGTAAATATTTTTTGCATACAATATTGTCCGAACTAGAATTTAAACATTTAAAAAGTAATAAAAATTTATAGCATTTAAGCTTAGATCTTCATAATTAAGATTTCGTGTTTTAAATAATGTATGTAGATAAATGTGGGGAAAACAAATTTTTCCACCTAATATTCTTATAATTAAAAATAAATTTATTATATAAATATTCAAGCGAAAATATCTTAACGCGTTACAAATGAGCTCGTTCTGATGACGTTTTGCTTATCGTTAAATAAATTAAGTAACAAATCAAGTTTTAAGTTCTTTTTAATATCTTTATGTATCTTTTGACAATAATTTACTTTTGAATTGCAATCATTTGGTATTACAAGTTAATCCATAACTACAAGTTTAGATAAAGTATACTTATTAATACATAAAAATCTTGAGTGGAATAGCACATTTCAATATCCACTAGAAAGACAAAGACATTCCATTTCCTGAAGGCATCTAAAAGATGGTATATGTACATGTACTATTCACCCAAGATCTCATTTTCTTTCTGAATTTCAACTTTTCACGCCATCTCGTGAAAAGAAACAGTATAAGTTTGTTTTAATACTTGTTTAATAACAAACCTTTTGTTTGTAATTAAACAAGTTTAAATTAATATTAGCGAAACTCGAATTAAACCATAATAAATGGTTTTTCATATATTTTTTATGTAACAGGCAAACGGGCAGGAGGCTCATCTGTTGTTAAGTGATACCGTCGTCCATGGACACTCACATTTCCAGAAGGCTCGCAAGTGCGTTGCCAGCCTTTTAAGAATTGGTACGCTCTTTTCTTGAAGGACCCTAAGTCGAAATGGTTCAGAAATACTTCAGTAGGTAGCTCGTTTCACATAGTGATGGTGCGCGGAAAAAACTGCCTTCCTCTTAGTTTTGGAACAACGGATGTAGTGTATACTTATGGATTATAAACAACATATATTCAATAAAAATTATAAACATTCCAAATTTTATTACATTCCAACTTATACAGAATGCAAAAAAAACTCAATGTTAAGGTTAGGTTAGTAAACCTGCCAAGAAGCTGATTTACATTTAACCGTGGTAAGTCTACGTACGATAAACTTTTGCGTGGTTCGGGATTTGAGACGTATCAAAGACCTTAAAGGAATTACTTGTTTTGTGAAGCCTTACATGTAATTACGGCAATTTTTATTTTAAAAACGTGCGCTTTCATGAAAAGAAACTAACGAACGAACTTGACTTGTTAAGCATTACGTGTTTTAAGTAACGAGTCTTAGTATAGTATCATGTATTCGTATTTGGTTTTTATTCGTTATAAAAGCTCCCTGTTTGTATGTATGTATGTAGGTT